ACAGTCAAATTCGAATGGCGAGCGGTTACACAAACAAATGCGTTTTACAAGAATACACGGAGGAATCCAGGAAATCCTCGCGTTTAATGTCATAATTCCGTTTTCCATTTTAAGTTAATTTAAAGTGTTCTGACAGCAGCAAATCGAACAACAAAAAAGAAAAAAAAATTAGCCCAACCCAAAATGAAAGCGAAAAATGTTGAAATGAGCAAATCGCATTGTAAAATATTTATTTATGCGTCTGTCTGTTGGGCGAGAAACGTACCAAGTTAATGCGAATTGACAAGCAAATGACCATATATTACCAATAAGTAAAACAAGTAAAAATAATGAAAGACGTAGCGGCAGAACGCAAACACAAGCAAACATTTCCCAACGCTTCAGAAAAATATATGTGCATACATACATATGTATGTAATGGGAAGACGTGCGTCAGTGGAAAATTTTAATTTTCAGAAAAGTAAAAAAAAAACTTTTTGACAAAATTATACTAACTCTAATTACCTAAACCGAACATGAAGCAGACGCAATTTGTTAAGCTGCGGCTTTGCCAATGCTCGGCTGATATGACAACGGCCTTGCCGCTTTGGATGATTAACAATGAAATTTGCCAGGAATTGGTCATCTGATTAAACTAAATGAGGCTTTGTGGCCTATCAAGCTATCCTTATAGTTCTCCCTTCTTTTCGATCTTTAGTTTGTCTCAAGGACTTTAAAAGAAGTTTCAGAAAGACGAAAATATAGTTGTGCTCATCTGCTATAACGCTTGTACGAAACAAATCAGACAATTTCGCCAAGAATTATCGCTTCCAAAAAAAACTTTTTTAAAGCGAGAGTTTTCTGTGGGGTATTAAGAGGTGTGGAAATTTTCACCGAGCGGACTGCGGCAACTTTTACATTGTTTGTGACAATTACCAATCCCAGTGGTGAAGGCTTCATATATTTTTCAGATGAGAGCAAGATGAGTGTTTCTAAAGTATTTGCAGGTACCTAAAGAGTCAGATATTACTTCTTGCGAACTGTTTTTATACGACACCAACTTCCCAATCCATTTATCTGCAAATCACATAAACTCAAAAAAAAAAAAATAAAAATTCAAAGGTTTCTCCAGTAAAAACAAAAACCTCATTAAGTGTTTCAACAGATTTTGAATTTTTATGATGCAAGTGATGCTGTTGCCACATGTAGCGCTACTTTTGCCGCCAATGCATTTCAGCGAGATCATCGAAGTCGGACAGCAGTAAATTGTTTCGAAAATAATATGTTGTGCTTTCGAAAATACATCAAAACAAAAACAAATATCCACGAAATGAAAACAAAGCAATAATGATTTGTGTGCGTATTATTTTGAGGCAGAAATTAATTTTAGAACGTGCCTCATGTTCGACGAATACGTGCTCATTGTACTGCGTTCGCCTCATTTACCYGATGAGGCACAGGAGCCACAATTGTGTTCATAAAACTGCACTTACATGTGTGTGTGAGTAACTGTGCGTGCTGTCTTAGTTCTTAGTACTTTTTGTATGTTCTGGTATTATCTCGAACAGGGTGGAGTGGTATAAAACACTTAAGTTGTGATTTCTTCTCTGAACTAATCTCGACCAAAGAAACAATTCGGTAGTAAAAGTTATATAATGACGCTAAATCATTCAGTTCACCTTTCTGCTTTTATTCACAAAAGATTTTTAATGATAATTTGTTACAGCCAGAGGGTTGATTGTGGGATAAATCAATTCATTAACAAAGTCAAGCGAGTCAATAATACTGCAGAAAAGGAAGCAAACTTGGTGGAAACAGCTTGAAAGTGTGATTCAAGACAAGCTCGTTAAGTCAGGCGACTCTTCTTTTGGACTTTTAGAAATGATCTAATACTCTAAAAGTCTTTTTGTAACCAAAAAAAAATATTCGAAAGTTGCAAAGTTATAGCTGTTTTTGTATAAAAAAGGGAGAATGCCGCGCAATGAAGTTTACGGAGACGATGTTGTATCATTTGGTGTAGGACAACAATGGTTCGCTCGCTTCCGCTCTGAAAATTTCGATGTGAAACATGCACCTCGCTCTGGCCGACCTATCGTTCAAAGAGTCGATGAACATAAGTAGGCATGATATCGCTAAGGAACTTCACATTCATCATCAAATGGTTTTGAACCATTTAAAAAAGGCTGGCTACAAAAAGAAGAATTGTCTGTGAAAAATTTAATGAACCGATTTAACACCTGTGATTCTTTGTTGAAAAAAATGAAATTTCTGAAGCGATGGTCCAAGCGTGGTGAAACTCAACAAATGGTCGCAAAGTCAGAACGGATGCCTTGAAAGGTTATGCTGAGTGTTTGGTGGGATTGGAAAGGATTCATTCACTATGAGCTGCTCCAGTCTGGTCGAACGATTGATTCTACATTTTACTGTCAACAACTGATGAGATTGAAGCAAGCAATTGAAAAAAAGGACAGAACGGGTCAACAAAGAAGACTTCGTATTCCATCAGGACAACGCTCTTTGATATCTCGCCAAAAACTGATAGAGCTTGCCCGGGAAGTTTTGACCAAATAGTCCTAATTTTGTACCATCAACATTTGTTTCGGTCAATGCAGAATTCCCTTAATGGTGTGCAGGTAAAGTTGGCTTCTAGAGAGCGCTGTAAAAATTATTTGGCGGTTTTTCGCCGAGAAACCAGAAAAGTTTTACATTGATGGAATAATATCTCTAGCGGAAAAATGGCAGAAAAGTGGTCGACCAAAATGGTACAATTTGTTTAATTAAAGTTAATATAAATATAAAAAAGATGTTGAAATTTTGATTAGAAATACGAAAAGACTTTTACGACACAATATAAAAAGGATATTAAAACAATAGAGTTTCGAAATATAAACGAGATTTGTGTAACTTTCGAGGAACAAACTTCTAAACTCTCTTGTAACCGACGCACCCTGTATCCCTTTGGCTGCAGCATAATCTTTTTAATGAAAGCTACACATGTCGCTTTCCGCGTTTGGCTTAGCTATGTGTATACAACTATATGCGGTAAGTAAAATAAAGACTGCTTTCCATTGCTGCATGTTTCAAAAGATGAAAATATGAAATAGATCGAGGAAAAAGAAAACAGTGCGCGCCGTTCTGTGTGGGCAACAATCAGTCGACAAACTCAATGACTTTTCCTACATCACACAGCAAGTCAAGGCGAAATTGCGCACAAGCAGACGCACATTCAACCCTGTACGTTTGTAGGCATGTATATCGCAATGTAGTCATATAGGCAGACATTGTTGTTGCTGTAGCTGACGTTGGTGGGCATTTTTCGCCTGTGTCTGGCGTACATTCGCCGCGTCGCGGCTGTCGAGCGTTTTCCACACTCTCGCCTGCACACAGGCACAGCCCCACACACACACTTACACGAATATATGCACACCAAATAGATTTTCCTCTTTTTGGCTTCTGCGAAAAACACGATCGGCTATTAGTTGAGCTGTACATGAGCGCGCTGTTTGTGTGTGCCGGTGCGGGAGTGCGCGAGTGTGCGTGTGTTGGAGAAGTGGGAAACTGGGGAGCGACCGAGGCGGCAGAAAATCGTGGCGCTGTGCAGTTGGCGCTCAAGTGTGTTTTTCGTTCAATTTTCATAGATATTTTTTGGAGCTCTTAACGCTCGCCTGTTTTCGCCGCCGGCATGTGAATGGACTTACACATATTACACGCCGGAAAACGCCGCTGGTGCCATAGCATCGTCCTGCTCGGCATAAGTTAAATCGAAATTTTTTCTCTGTTTTCAAGTGAACTATTTTTTGGTTTTTGCAGCTTGCGATTTATTTTTTACTTCGCCTTTCGCATATCCACTTGTCGCATGTACAAGTATTTTGCCCAATTTTTTGTCGTACTTCCAAGTTTTGCCCAGGCGGCCCTGCTGTGTCGCTTTTTCCTACCGAATATCCATCTAGTTGTGAACAGCACCAAAAAGCAGTGGCGGCAGCGACTTTGATTGCTGGCGATTGTCCTCAGTGTAGTGAAACGTTTCGTATATGCTGATACATGCACATGTGTTGAAAACAAAATCCCCTTTGATCAATATACTTGGCGCCCATGTCGATACACACCCAAACTACACACCGCCATATTTATATACGAATTTCAAAAATATACATTTTCAGCAGACATTGTGGACATACTAACCCATTATCTGTGTGTATGAATGTGCGCATTTCGAGCTGCTTGTAGACGATTTGTTCGTTTTCGCCACCAAAGATCGTCGCTAGCACGAATTTCCTATGCCCGGTGCGCCCCAACACAGGCCCAAGCATTTCATTCAAAATATGTAGCTGAGAAATATGATTTTTTGATTCTATTTTCTAACGCAAGACACATAGAGCCAGTCGAAACGGCCGAACAAAGAAACCGCGGAACACAAGTGAAATAGCGAAGAAGAAGAAGAAAAAGTCGAATTTTCAATAGAAGCGAAGTATAATATATGGGCGAATCTGCATGAATTTCTCCTTTTTTTTGCGATGTGAATTGGAAATTTTGCTCATATCGGCGGCGTAATAATCGCACACCAGCAGCATTCGAATGATCGTCAGTAGTGATCGAAAGCAACAAGATTTTTCACTTAATGCTGACATTTTAGTTAGTCTGTTTTTTTTGGATTTTTTGCGCTGAAAAACAATAAGCCTGAGAGCTTAAATGCCGCTGCCACTGGCGCTGCCGCAAACTCGGACGAACGAAGACGAATGTGTTTCATCTGTTTTGGACCGTTCTGAAACTTTTAATTGAATTATATTGAACACGAAAAGCGTACAAATCGTCCGCATTGCTTTGCAGAAAAATTCGACTCGCAGCCATCGACGACAGGAATTTTCGTAATAAAAATCCCGGTGGTTTTTTGTCCGATTTGCGCGCAAAACTCTCTATATATATAAAGCACTCAGAAATCATATGATAATTGGACGATAAATAAAAATTGAAAAGAATAAAGCAAAAACGCGTGCCGCAAGGTGTGAAATTCCGCAAGTTGTGAACGACAGATCTTTTATAGGCGAAACAAAACGAACTCAATGAAATTGATTGTGGAAGACACTCGCAGTTTTGGAACGTAGAAAGAAAGAGAAGACAAAAAAAAAAAGCAAAAATCAATTTGTGACAGCATTAGTTATACTTTGTGAAGTGCTTGGTTGTACTAACTGATTCATGTGACAAAGTGTAGCGTAATAAATTTAAATAATTTAAAAAAATTCCCTTGAAGTGTCTTTCGGCAACATATTGTGTATGGATATAGTTATATAAATAAGGCGTGCTGCAACAATAAAGTGTCAACATAAGGAGAAAATTAAAAATTCTGTTGCCGGCCTAATTTCAAGAAAACACCAAACGTAACAACAACAACAAAAGCAGAAAAACTTCTTTACCATTGAAAGGCAACGCAGGAAATACCAAAGCTTAAACGCAACTCGAATTTGTTTATGTAATCCAAAATTAAACAACAACAGCAACAAAAAGCGCACATCAAATTTTATTTTCGGGAAGAATTCTCTGCTAGAAATTGTACGCGAGTATTTTAAAATTAGAAGTTTAAATTCACTAAAAGAAACAACAACGCGCCAGCGGAAGGCAAAGGGAAATACACAAAGAAAAAACCGAAAAAAAAACAAGAAAGAATCGAGAAAGTAACACCAAACAAGAAAACAAAAAATCACGTGAAACAAACGAAGAATATATAGGAAAAGCGCTCAAAGCGAAAACAAGTTTTAGTGTTTGTTGTTTGTGTGCAAGTGTGTGCGTTTTTGTGTAAAAAATATAATTTATGAAAAAATAGTGTATTATTTAAAAAAGCAGTGTCATGTTCATTTTGTATTTATTTTTTAATTTTCTAAATTTTACAGCAAACTAAAAGATTCGAGTTCTTGTGCCTTAGCAAATTATAGTGATTAAACTGACGCAAATTTGTTGAAAAACTTTAACCGCAAAGTGTCCGCAAATAGAAATTGAAAACTGTGCACAATGTCGGAAGCTGAAACTGCCGTTAATCCCGCCACCACCACCGCCAGCGTCGAGGCGGAGCAGGAGCCGGAAAAGACCGTCACTCAAACGGTGGACGAGGATGAGGATATGAAGGAGGAGGTCTCCGCCGAAACGGAGAAAATGATTACCGAAACGGTTGACGAGGACGGCGATGTGGTCGAGGAGACCACCGAGGTTACGCGTAAAACCATTAAGCGCACTATGAAAATTACTGAGGTAAGTCGAAATATGTTACCGTTTATGGCTTGCCACGATTGTGATCTTCGACAAACGAGGTTGAGAGTGTAAAAATTGAAGGAGAATATGACTTTTTTTGGTGAAATAGAATAAGTAATGTTTGTTTTGAAACTGTTAATCAGGCCAAGATGCAAAATATACTCTTAAGAGTTATAAAAGCTTTTATTCATATTTTCTGCCCCAAATGTCTTTGCTTTCTTAATATATTTTGTTTTTATAGAAAATTTGATCAAGTGTGTTATGTTCTTAAGAATCATTTCAATCTCTATCCACTTGATTCTTGGTGAAACGGGTGTTATAGCCATACAACAATGCCTCTCATATTGACTCCGAATATATTTTTTTTTATTATCGGTACTTTGAAGTTCGCATAGAAGCTTTGAAGCGTAGCTCTACGGACATCTCTAAAAACCTTTTCTCTACAAAGACACACTGTCTCTCTGTATAAAGTGAGCTAAGCCCTCATGTTTTGAGAAATCGATTTGAAATTTCCCCCACGTCCTCTTCATTTCAAGCTTTAAGAAGCTACTCATTTGTCGGAAAATTGTCTTTGTATAGAAACGAAATTTGAAACATTAATGTAATAAGATGGGACTACCTTAGCATATAGCTGATATTCAAATAACAATGTTAAGTCGACTCATCGCGTTACGTTAATAATATAAATACAGGGTTTTCCAATAAGAGTGATATGATCTCTATAAAAAACGCACTGATTGTTAAAGAAATGTAAATGTTTTTTATTTAGTGTGAAGAACAAGCGAACAAGTTCTAAATATAACATCATTCACCACCTTCTCCACGACTTTTTCTGCACGAGCACATCGATGAACCACATTTTCAAGTACTTTTTCCACTAAATCAAGTCGGATGTCATGAATAGCACGTTCAATATTGATTTCTAAAGCTTGAAGAGAGTCTCGCTTATTGCCAAAGACCAATGGCATCAAACAACCCACAAGAAGTAGTCTAACTGTGTTAAGTCACAATTTCTCGGAGGCCATTCAAAGTTACATCTTTTTGAAATAATCGAATCTCCCGTTTTCTCGCTCCGTTGTTGTACATGATGTGTGGCACGTAGCTCCGTCTTGTTGGTTGAAACCAAATCTTTTCAAGAACAACTTCTTCCAATTGCAGTAAAAGTTGGCTAACATCGATCCATACCGCTCTCCATTGACAATAATGGTGTCACCAGCTTCATTTCGAAAGAAGTAGGGGCCAATGATTCCACCAGATTAAAAGCCAAATTGTCAATTTAGGTGAATGTAATGGTTATTCATGAATAATTTGTGAATTGGTTTGCACCAGAATCGACAGTTTGGATTATTTAGCCTGGAGCCTCATCGCAGAAAATGAGTTCCTTAAAAAAAATCGTTATTATTTTTAAGTTGTTCCTCAGCAAATTCACAACGTTTACGGTGGTCCAGTGACTTCAGTTCTTGAGTGAGAACAATTTTATGTGGATGTCAAATCCTTTCTCAAGCTCGATCAGATTGTGGTTTGAGACAGCCCCAATTCTTGAGAACGTCTTTAAATCTACCAATTACGGTCTTCAGCGCCACTTGCCTGAACGGCCGCAATATTTTCAATTCTTCTTGGTTCTTTGTCTCATTGGCACTTGAACATTATTTAAAGAAAATGTACTCTCAATATTTGCATCCACTCGACGAAAAGCGAGCACAGATAGACGATTATTACGACCATGAAAAGAGCACGGAGGGTTGCAATTGACGAACGATTATTTTGATATTAAAATTGAATAATTTGTAAACGTTGTTCTTGCGTATTTCTTTCCATGATGAAATTGTAAACATTACTGAATACAATAACAAAAAGAACTACAGATAATGACATATTAAAAATAATCGAAAATACACTTAGAAAAAGCTGGTACATACTTTTCAGCACTTCCGACGTTTCCTTCTGGGTGTTACAAACTTCGTGGCAAACTTAATATATCCTGTTCAGGCCAAAATAAACTGAAAGATTTTTAGCACTAGCCATTCAGGCGCCACTCTTGTCAAACCAGCTCGGAAGTGATTAAAAGGCCTAGATTTAAAAAAGGTTAAGACAGTCATATAATAGTAATATTATATAATATTTTTGTTTAAGCCGATTGAGCTGTAAAGCATGCGCCCGCACTATGCTTTTGTTTTACGTTTGAGCAATGCTAAATTGTTTACAATAAAAGCAAAACACCTTACAAATATTATTTATAAATAGTATCATAGTTTATAAAATGTAAGCAAAAACAATAAATATATAAATAAAAGCAGGGCGGTGGCGAACAGACGTTTTTCTCTTCTTCTTTTCTTGCTACCGTCATGATTTACGCGCTCGACTTGCTGCGGCGCGTCGCGGCTACTGTTTCTTACGCAAAAATTCGCTGAAATTTATTGTTGATTTATTGTTGTTTCTTGTAGGTTCACTTTTTTATTATAAATTTTATGTATTTCTTTTCAAATATCGCATAAACTAGAAATGAAAAGTAGACGCGATTTATGACATACGTTTCCTCTATTTTGTCCGATAAACAAACAAAAACTAAATGCTGTTTTTTGGAAGAAAATCTCTGACATTGTGGAAAAACACACAAAGATCTACTGAACGCATTTCGAATTAAAACAAATAGCTGCTGCCGGTCGAAGTAGATTACAGTGATCTGGGCTGTCAAGATTAGATTGGCTTTTAGCGCAGATTCGAATTGTGAAACTAGTTTCTACTTCGTTCGGGAGGCGCTTATACGTACATACGTTTATACTGACAGTTTAGTCTTGAGTTAACATAATGAAGCTTTCAAAACCTAACTCTCTGTTAAATGAAATAAATGTATTCGCCGAAGTCAAGCGGGCCGAGTTCGTGAACATCATTCGTATCAATCATTGCGATAACGAAGCGTTTTTACACCTAATAAGTTTCTTAAAAACACCATCGGTTTATCAGAGCCAATCAGACCAACGAAGTGTTATTTTTTTCAATCATTATTTTGTAAAATACACATTAATATTCAGTATAATCTCCCTAAATATTAATACACTTGCTTCAACGATTCCCCAATCTGTGCGGCAAAATATTATATGCTGAATACGGTGAACGCTCCAACAGTTCGAACTTTAATTCATGGATTTTGGCCATTATAAATATGCTCTTGTGACACGGTGCATTATCCTGATGAAAAAAGATTTTTTCTTCTGCAAACCGAGTCTTTTTACATGAATTTTTTCCTTCAACTTGTCCAGAATGTTGCAATAATATTCAGAGTTAATTGTTTTACCAGTTTGCAAGAAATCCACAAACAAAATTCCTCTCGCATTCCAAAAAACGTATGCCATAACCTGCTGGGCCGGTATCCGTACACGAACTCGTTTCGAAGCCGAACAACCAGGTTTGCACCACTCGTTGGCCTCTTGTTTTGATTCAGGATCATGGTGAAAGACCCAAGTCTCATCCATAGTGCTGAATCGACACACAAAATCTGCAAATGTTGCTGAGAAAAGCGCATTCCATTGTTAGCGAAGGCGGCATCCATTGTGCACATAGCTTTTTAAAACCCAAAATTTCACATAAAATATGGCTCACACTGCCTAAATAGATATGTAAAGTCTCTGCTAAATTTCCCTCATCGACGATTTTCCAAAACCATATTATGTATTTTGGCTATGCTTCCTGGTGTTGGTACGCTTTTTGGACGTCCTTGAGGGCTGTATGTAAGTAATTCGATTATTTTTAACTGATACAAACAACCAAGACTATTACAGCATATTCTGTATATTGCAAGAGTATAAAAATACTTCATGCTCATAAACGTCAATATTTGTAGATATAAATATCGCAACAATGTTTTCGAGTACGCATATGGCAATTGGAAATGCGTTTCGGTTGTTATGAGGCCTCTAAAGCTTCAATCAATTCGAGAGGAAAGCGCAGCTGTATTGATTTGTGCAGACAAAATGCAATAAAGTTTGCAGCAGAACAGAAACAATAGTAAAATTGTATTTTACAAAATCGTATACTCACACATACATACATACGTTCGCACGTAAGCAAACTCAAATGTAGTCCAGTATAAATGAAACAATAGAGAAACATTAAAACGCCGACGCTTTGCTCCAAAAAATATAATCCTCGTACTCATAATCTGCTACGCACAGGCACAAATATATATTTACAAATTTACATTCGTTCGTGCAGTTGTTTTATGCCACGGTGTATGGGTATGTGTTCGTGCTAACTTTGTTGCACACAAAATGTTGCATTTACTGATGTTGCATCTAATTGCAATTAATTATTTTATTTGGTCAAATTGCTAATTATAATTACTCGCACATTTCCGCCACTGTTACATGCACACACACACACACACTTACACATAGTCGCACACGAAATTTCGCCAGCGGCATCAATTGGTCGCCAGCAGAATGATTGGGCAGGAGGTGTGTCTCATCACACTCGGACGCAGCTGCTTTTGTATGCGAGACGACGCACACAAGCCGGCAGGAGGTGCAGCGTTGTAGAGGCATATTGAGTGCATTTCGCAATTTAATTGAAATCACACAGGCAGCGCAGTCGTACAAGTTCCTCCACTTTTGCGTAGCAAAGCGATTTTGGGCGATTTTGAGGCGAATGTTGAAATTTTACGCAATTAAAGCGAAAACTATGGCTTATAAACGGTCGTTTGTGTGTGTGTGTGTTTGTGCTTCCCAAAAATCACATGCAATTATGCCTGTTTACAAAATGTGCAGAAAACAAAAACAGCGACAACAAGAACAAATATTGTTTAATAAACATAAATTGTCAGAAATAATATTACTTGCAGTTGGCTTGCGATATCAAAATGCACCCACCCACAGCTTTAAAAAAAAAAAAACACAGAGCAAGCCAATCGCATTAGAACGCAGAAAATTCTATATTTTTTCATATATTTTTAAAAAGCCGTTGAGCGGTTATGCGCCCACTCCGCATGCAAATTAATTACTGTT